CGGATCACAAGGTCAGGAGATCGAGACCACGGTGAAACCCCGTCTCTACTAAAAATACAAAAAAAATTAGCCGGGCGCGGTTGTGGGCGCCTGTAGTCCCAGCTACTCGGGAGGCTGAGGCAGGAGAATGGCGTGAACCCGGGAGGCGGAGCTTGCAGTGAGCCGAGATCGCGCCACTGCACTCCAGCCTGGGCGACAGAGCGAGACTCCGTCTCAAAAAAAAAAAAAAAAAAAAAAAAAAAAAAGGAATAGAGTAACAGAATTGTAAATCCCTATTTTTATTTTTAATGGGGAAGGGAATGTAGAAGAAGGAGAAGATGAGTTAACCAGTGAAAATTCCCAACAGTGCCATGAAATTACATGAAAGTTACCAAAAATAACTTGGTCATAGGCTAGCAGCTAATAAAAAACACTTTCAGATGAAAAAGAGAGGTTAACAACAACAACAAAGCTTTAGAACAGTTCCTCAGGAATTTCATTCCTGCACTTAACTCAGTACTATAACAATAGATAAACCAAGTATCCTCATTAATAACAGTGGTTACAGGTTTCAAAACATCTTCACATATATTACCTTATAAAATCCTCAGAGGAACCAAATTAAACTCAAACATAAATAATCCAGTAACAAAAGCACTTAATAATGTATGCACTTGACAGTAAAAACGCAATTTTTCCTTTGAAAATTCCCCACAATATTTGAGAAACTACAAAGAAACCATTCTATGGACGAGCAACCTTCTTGGCACTGGAAGTAATACAAGTCTTCTAAAGAATAATAGAGCACCGTGGACGGGCGCAGTGGCTCACACCTGTAATCCCAGCACTTTGGGAGGCCGAGGCGGGAGGATCATGACGTCAGGAGATCGAGACCATCCTGGCCAACATGGTGAAACCCCGTCTCTACTAAAAAATGCAAAAAATTAGCTGGGCATGGTGGCAGGCTCCTGTAGTCCCAGTTACTTGGGAGGCTGAGGCAGGAGAATGGCGTGAACCCAGGAGGAGGTTGCAGTGAGCCAAGATCCAAGATCGCGCCACTGCACTCTAGGCTTGGTGACAGAGCAAGACTCTGTCTCTTAAAAAAAAAAAAAAGAAGAAGAATAGAGCACTGCTAGCAAAAGCCATCAAAATCCTGAAACCCTTTGACCTAGTAAAACCACTCTTGGGAACTTTCTCTAAGGAAATAATTACACTGAAGCAAAAAGCTATTTAAAAATGTTCACTGCACCACTATCTATAACAAAAAAGTGGAAACCCAATTCCCAACAATAGAATGGTTAAGTAAAAACCTTACAGCCAGGCGCAGTGGCTCACACCTGTAATCCCAGCACTTTGAGAGGCAAGGGCGGGTGGATCACCTAAGGTTGGGAGTTTGAGGCCAACATGGCGAAACCCTGTCTCTACTAAAAATACAAAAATTAGTCAAGCATGGTGGCATGTTCCTGTAGACCCAGCTACTCAGGAAGCTGAGGTGGGAGAATCGCTTGAACCTAGGAGTCAGAGGCTGCAGTGAGCTGAGATCATACCGCTGCACTCCAGACTGGGCAACAGACTCCGTCTCAAAAAAAAAAAAAAAAAAAATTTACATTTACAATACAATGTTCAGGAGAAAAAAGCTAACTACAAAATAACATACACAATCACCTCTACTACATAAAAACAAAAAGGTAAAAAACAAAAATAAGAATTAGACGGATGGTTGGGGGCAGTGGCTCATGTCTGCCTGTAATCCTGGCACTTTGGGAGGCCAAGGCTGGCAGACCACTTGAGGTCAGGAGGAGTTGAGACCAGCCTGGCCAACAAGGTGAAACCCCGTCTCTACTAAAAATACAAAAATTGGCCAGGGGCAGTAGCTGACACCTGTAATCCCAGCACTTTGGGAGGCCAAGGCAGGTGGATGACTTGAGATCAGGAGTTCGAGACCAGCCTGGCCAACATGGCAAAATCCCGTCCTCACTAAAAATACAAAAAAATTAGCCAGGTGTGGTGGCACAAACCTGTAATCCCAGCTACTCGGGAAGCTGAGGCCGGAGAATCACTTGAATGAACCCAGGAAGCAGAGACTGCAGTGAGCTGAGATCAGGCCACTGCACTCCAGTCTGGGCTGTAACAGAGTGAGATTCCATCTCAAAAAAAAAAAAAAAAAAAGAATTATATTGAAGTAAAATTATGTTCTAATATTGTGCTTACATTATCTTTCCTAAAACAGCCACCTTCAAACATGTGTATAACAAAGATAGAAGAAATCACTTTTTTTTTTTTTTTTTTTTGAGACGGAGTCTTGCTCTGTAGCCCGGGCTGGAGTGCCGTGGCCGGATCTCGGCTCACTGCAAGCTCCGCCTCCCGGGTTTACGCCATTCTCCTGCCTCAGCCTCCCGAGTAGCTGGGACTACAGGCGCCCGCCACCTCGCCCCGCTAGTTTTTTGTATTTTTTAGTAGAGATGGGGTTTCACCGTGTTAGCCAGGATGGTCTCAATCTCCTGACCTCGTGATCCGCCCGTCTCGGCCTCCCAAAGTGCTGGGATTACAGGCTTGAGCCACCGCGCCCGGCCAGAATAAATCACTTCTGAAAGTCATGAAAAACTATTCACACACACAAGAAGTCAAATTATGAGATGTTTCTTAAAGCAGATGTGAATTTCCAGACTTTCAAGAATATTTTGCTATCTCGAAACTTGTCAAATCCAATGCTGCGTTTTCTTTTTTCACCCTTGCTCTCAGAAACTTATTTTCACTGTTGATACACACAAACATAAGTCAGAAGATTCTAGAAGCTGAAACTTATTTATAAGGAACGGAGGAAAGTGATTCAAATTCAAAGTAATACTACATTAACGATCTGTACAAGAATAAAATTTCACATTATGCAAATCCAACACAGTAAACAAAATTTCACCTATTCATCAAAAAGAATAAGGGCTACCATTTAGGTCTCAAGTAAAGGAACTTAAAGCAAGGAAAAATCTAAATTAACCTTAAACTGTTGTAAAGCCTCAAGGAACAGAAAAAAAGACCTTGTAGTACTAAAATATTCCAAATATCTTTGATCACTCCAACTACTCAGGTGCAAATTCTATTATAGTCTAATTTTTAAGCCTCATAGTCAATGCAACTTAACGACGTTAGTTTTAACGTTTATATATTTGAACATGTTGAATATATCTGCCAAATCTCTTGCTAATACCTAAGAAAGTAAAAACAGAATGCATCCTTTTCTATAAACATTGTATTTTAAATTTTTTTGCTAGATGCCAACGAAAAAAGGAAACTGAATTTACCCTCTACCTGGGGAAATGATCACTTCATCTGAACTAGTTTGGCTAAGCAGTGTTTGGGATGCTTCAGACTCACAGAAGGGGAAGGGTGGGCGGGGCGTGTAAAGTCAAACAACCGACTGTTTCCGCCCCCTTTGAAGGCAGCAGAATTCCTTAAAAACCAGCTGATTCCTCTTGATGGGGAATTTCTGCTGTAAATAAAAATTCTTTGGAAAGGGGTTGCTGAAAATGTGTTTTCAAAAAGAATACTCAGGTGAATGAAAAATCCTCTTATTCCACCTTCCAAAGCCCAAGATGCCTATTTAAGGAGGACGCCGGTCACCGGCCCTGTCAAGACGGCGGCCTAGGCCTAAGGAAGGCACAGCAGTGCCTGCAACACGGATGGACTTGAGGCACAGGGGAAATGGACTTGCGTGCCCTTGGTAAGCTCTGGCGGCTCTCCCGAAGTTAAGGACACCGGCCACAATGGAATGGAGTCTATTGACGTTTGCTTCTCCCTTTGAACACTAAGCATTTTCTTAGTTCGCGAAATACGAACTGACAACCACCCGCCACCCCCAACAGGCGCTCCTGCACAAACACACCCTCGAGTCAAACCCAGCTAGCCGGGACAACACTGAGCCCCCAGTCCCTACCACAACCCCAGCTTAGGAGGAAAAAAGACGCCAGTAAACACCCGCATTTCTGCCTTCAGGATCCCCACCACGTCCCCTGCTGCAATCTCTCTCTCCTAGCATTTCCGAAATTGGGGCGGGGGTTGGGATAACTGCGCAGGGTGCCCGCCCCCTGCCACCAGCACTGCCGCCCCGGATCTCCCCGGTCCAGCCTGGGTCCGGCCCTCGCCCACCGCTGTTCAGAGGCGCCTTCTCCACCGTGGCCTCGAACAGCAATGCGGATTGGCCACCACCCGCGCGCCGGAGAGGCCTGGCGGGGGAAGGAGGAAGGCCGGGAGGGGGCCGGGCACTCCCCACCCCTTCCCTTCCCCAAGTGGGGGAGGGCGGAACGTTGCAGGAGGCCACACGGAGCCCCACGATTCCAAGAGAGTTCGGGAGCCCCCGCCGCGCCCTCGGACTCGAACGCGGAGAGGTGCGGGGGCCAAGGCCCACCTGTCTCCACCTGGTCCTCCAATCTTTCCCAGGACTGGGAGGGGGCGGGGAGAGAGCCCAGACAGACCCTGATGATTCCGGAGAAGCCCGGTGCCTACCCCTTTAACAGGCACGAGGGACGCAGACCTAACTTCTCCCCTCCCGAGATGTCTCCCATGGCGGGTGAGGGGGGAGACACATGTTCCAGAAAACGACATCAAAGCCTCTAGACCCCTCCAACGTTCACATCTAAACTGGTAGTGGGGGCGCTGCCCGAGCATCCCCACGCTGCGGTCGGAGGATCGTGGGGAAGGGGGATCCGGGGCTGACCATCGCCGCTACCCGAAAACCCCTCCCAACACGCGTGGGGAGGGGAGGCCGCCCGCTCCCTCCATCTTGACCGCTGGGGGAGGGGGCGCGGATGCTGCGGGAGGCTGGACAAGCCTGACAATCCTAGAGGACCCCGGCTGCGCCCCCCGGCAGAGCCTCGGGGCTCAGGCCCAAGCGAGTCCCCCTCGCGCTGCCGGCCCCCGGCCCACCCCGGGCAGCCCGGCGGGTCACGGGGCGGGGACGGCGGCGCGGGCCGCGGGGGAGGGGACGCCGGGACCGGAGCGGAGGGGGCTGGCGTGCCGACACCCACCTGCCCAGGCCGGGCCTACCGCCGCCGGAGGTCGCCGCGGCCGCCGAGGAGGGAGTCGTGGCCGAGGACGAGGAGACCGAGGACGACGACGGCGAAGGCGAGGCGGCGGGCGACGCTAGAAGGCCGCTGCCGCCGGGCTTGCGGACATTGGCAGCCGCGGGCGGCTGCTGCTGCTGCTGCTGCTGCTGTTGCTGCTGCTGCTGCTGCTGCTGGGGCTTCAGCGACATGGTGAGGGGCCCATACACCGGCTCGCACGCCGGGCGGGGACAGCCGGGAGCCGGGCGCGCCGAGGAGACGCCGGAGCGCGGCGGGGACGCGCGGGCGCCGAGCAGGGAGGCGCGGGTTGGCGCGGCCGGGGGGGCACCCGGGCTGCCGCGGGGGAGAAGGAGGACGACGAAGGGGCGGGGAGGCCCGCCGAGACCGAGGAGCTGCGGGGAGCCGGGCCGGAACGCGCCACCGCCGTTGCCGTTGCAACCAAAACAGTCTGAGGCGGAGGGAGGCGAGCGCTGCCGGGAGGGAGGGGGGCCAGGGCCGGGCGGGGGAGGGGCGGCGGAGGGATACTGTCCAGAGGCCGCGCCACCGCCGCCCCGCCCGTTCCGCTGCGCCGGCCGCTGGAGCGAGCGCCACCCGGGCCAGTTGGCTGCGGCGAAGGGGCGAGACTGGGTGCCCGCCGCGGGACTCCGAGGAGCTGCGGCCACTGAGCGCATCGGAGGCCGGGCGCGCCGAGGCGCCGGGGGAGCGCGGAGGTGCGGTAGGGACTCTTTACCGGAAGTCGGAGGGGTCGGGCGGAAGCAGAACGTGAGTGGCCCCGGGGCCGGGAGGGACACGTGAGGGCGCCGCGCTGGGCCGCTTTCGCGGGGGTCGGCTGAGGGCCCGGCCGCGGGCCCTACCCGGATCCGCCCTCTTCGAGGCGGGTCTGCCCTTCGGGGAGGGCGTGTCGGTCTTAGCCTCTGGGGCCTGCCTGGTGTGTAGGACGAGAGGGAAGCATTTCTTTCCCCTACTGTATTCCTTCAGCGTCCTCACTTCTGCGGGGACCTGGTTTGCCCCCACCTGATGCAACCCAGAAAACGGACTGCGAGTGCCTTGAGGCGGAGAATGTGTCTTGCTACGTGTAAAGCACCTAGAACCCTGCCAGACTCAGGGGACACAGCATCCCGCCGTTTTCCTGCCGTCCCCACCTGGCACATAGTAGGCGCTCCAGTGGCTCTGGGCATCTCCCAGGCAGGCCGCGCTCTCCTGCCCTTGCCGGGGCTGGAGTGGAGCAACCCTCCGGGGCCACCCACATCTGGGTACCTTTTCCCCACTTTTTCCACCCCAGCCGCACACAGTCACCAGAAAACTCTTTTAGGTATCTGACCTTCATTTGAACCTACGTTCCCTCGTTTGAACTTCTTTTTCCTCATTCGTGACATTCTAAAGGAAATATATGGGACTGGGACTGCTAGCACCACGGATAATAGGATCTCCCTCGGTAGAGCCAGAGCCGACCTCACAAGAATGTGTGAACTTTAGACCTTGCACCCTTTAGAAGTTTTAATTTAACTTACCAGCCAGCACAGTAGACCCTTTTAAAAATGTGTTGCAATTAAGCTGGAAGCAAGTAGAAAGTAGATAACTTTTTATTTTTTTAGCAGTGAATCTATTGTTTTTTTAAAGTGAAAGGACTTCAGGAAATAATAGGGGAAGAAACACCAAAATTCCCCTCAATGTCCTAGAACTGCCCAGATAAAGGTAAAGACTTAGATAAACGTGGAGAATGATTGAACCAGCAGTTTTCAGTAGCCCAACTGAAATTAACCTCCTAGATAGTCCGGGCAAAACTGATCATCGTACTCTGCCAATGTAGGAAATCAGTGTTATTTCCCGTCTAAGGTAAAAAGATCAAGGGACCATTGCAAAACCCTTTAAAAAGTAACCGAGCCTAGTCAACATGGTGAAACCCTGTCTCTACTAAAAATACAAAAATTAGCCGGGCATGGTGATGGGCGCCTGTAATCTGAGCTACTCGGGAGGCTGGGGCAGGAGAATTGCTTTAACCTAGGAGGCGGAGGTTGCAGTGAGCTGAGATCACGCCACCCCATTCCACCCTGGGTGACAGAGCGAGACTTCATCTCAAAAAATAAATAAATAGTAACCTAAAGGAAATTGGGGGAAAAAAAACAGTTGAGGAAACAAAAAAATAGAAGGGCCTTAATAGAAATACAATCACTTGGCCTGGCGTGGTGGCTCACACCGGTAATCCCATCTCTTTGGGAGGCCGAGGCAGGTGAATCACCTGAGGTCAGGAGTTCAAGACCAGCCTGGCCAACACGGCGAAAGCCCGTCGCTACTAAAAATACAAAAAAAATTACCTGGGCGTGGTGGCGGGCATCTGTTATCCCAGCTACACAGGAGGCTGAGGCAGGAGAATCGCTTGAACCTAGGAGGCGGAGGTTACAGTGACCCAGACAGCACCACTGCACTCCAACCTGGGCGACAAGAGCAAAACTTTATCTCAAAAAGAAAAAAAAAAAGAAATCACTTTTCTCTGATTGGAATCAAGGTCCCAGAATACAATCTTTTTTGTTTGTTTGAGACAGAGTCTCATTCTGTCGCCCAGGCTGGAGTGCAGTAGCGCGATCTCGGCTCGCTGCAACCTCCGCCTCCCAAGTTCACGCCATTCTCCTGCCAAGTTCACGCCATTCTCCTGCCTCAGCCTCCCAAGTAGCTGGGATTACAGGCGCCCGCCACCGCGCCCAGCTAATTTTTTAAATAGTTTTAGTAGAGACAGGGTTTCGCCGTGTTAGCCAGGATGGTCTCAATCTCCTGACCTCGTGATCTGCCCGCCTTGGCCTCCCAAAGAGCTGGGATTACAGGCGTGAGCCACTGCGCCCGGTCTCCAGAATACAATCTTAAGAACAAGTTTTGGCCAGGCGCTGTGGCTCACGCCGGTCAGCACTTTGGGAGGCAGAGGCAGGTGGATCACCTGAGGTCAGGAGTTCGAGACCAGCCTGGCCAATGTGGTGAAACTCCGTCTCTACTAAAAATACAAAAATTAGCCGGATGTGGTGATGCACGCCTGTAGTCCCAGCTACTTGGGAGGCTAAGGCAGGAGAATGGCGTGAACCTGGGAGGCGGTGCTTGCAGTGAGTGGAGATAGTGCCACTGCACTACAGCCTGGGCAACAGAGCAAGACTCCATCTCAAAAAAAAAAAAAAAAGAAAAAGAACAAGTTTCAGGCCAATGGAAGGGAAAATGGAAGTTGAATAAGAAGGCCTAGGCTGGGTACAGTGGCCTATACCTGTAATCCCAGCACTTTGGGAGGCCAAGGCAGGCAGATCCCTTGAACCAAGGAGTAGGAGACCAGCCTGGGCAACATAGTGAGACCCTCCTCCACATAAAAGTTAAAAAAAAAAAAAAAAAAGAAGGCCTGAAGCTGACGTAGCTGAGAAAGCTTGTTTTAACTCACTACAATTGAATAAAAACTTAAGTTTTATCAAGATATAATTTACATACTATGAAATTTATTTTGTGTACAATTTAAGATTCTCAGTAAATTTACACAGTAAATTTGCACAACCATTGCCACTAATTTCAGAACATTTCCATTACCCCAAAAAGATCCTTCTTGCCCGTGGGCAGTTTGGTTCCAATCTTCAGCCCTAGGCAACCACTCATCTATATTTTCTCTCTATGGATTTGTCTGGATTTTTCATATAAGTAGAATCTTACAGCATGCGGCCTTTTGTGTCTGCCTTCTTTCATTTGTCATAATGTTTTTGAGGTTTATCTAAGGTTGTTGCATGTAGCAGTATTTCATTCCTTATTATTGCTACATCATATTCCATGTATGGACATACCACATTTTGTGTCCACTTTCCAATTGGTGATGTTTAGATTGTGTCAACTTTTTGACTATTATGAAAATGCTGCTGGGGCTGAGATTGGTGGCTCACTCCTGTAATCACAACACTTTAGGAGACCGAGATGGGAGGATCACTTGAATGCCCAGGAGTTTGAAACCAGCCTGGGCAACACAGAGAGAAACCTTTCTCTATGAAAAAACTTTAAAAATAAAAAATTAGCTGATTGGCCGGGCGTGGTGACTCATGCCTATAATCCCAGCACTTTTGGGGGCTGAGGCGGGTGGATCACCTGAGATCAGGAATTCGAGATCAGCCTGGCCAACATGGTGAAAACCCATCTCTATTAAAAATACAAAGGCCGGGCGCGGTGGCTCATGCCTGTAATCCCAGCACTTTGGGAGGCCGAGGCGGGCGGATCACAAGGTCAGGAGATCGAGACCACGGTGAAACCCCGTCTCTACTAAAAATACAAAAAATTAGCTGGGCGCGGTTGTGGGCGCCTGTAGTCCCAGCTACTCGGGAGGCTGAGGCAGGAGAATGGCATGAACCCGGAAGGCGGAGCTTGCAGTGAGCCGAGATTGCACCATTGCACTGCAGCCTGGGAGACAGAGCAATACTCTGTCTCAAAAAAAAAGAAAAAAAGAAAAAAGCTGGTCATGGTGGCATGCACCTATAGTCCCAGCTACTAGGGAGGCTGAGGCAGGAGGACCGCTTGAATCCAGGAGATGGAGGTTGCTGTGAGCTATGAATGCACCACTGCACTCCAGTCTGGGCAACAGATCAAGACCCTGTCTCGTTCAGTTAATAGAATTGCTAAAACACAAAGAACAAAAGAAGAAGAAAGAAAAATAATAATGCTGCTATGAACATCTGTGAACATATATCTTCATGTGGATATATGTTTTCATTTATTTTGGATAGGTTCCTACAAACGAAATTGTTGGGTGATATGGTAAGTTTATTTATTTATTTTTATTTTATTTATTTATTTATGGAAACTACCTTTTCTCTGGACTTCAGGAGGCTTAAGCTTTATATGAAAATATCAAGAGTAGGGTGGGCCGGTGGCTCACGCCTGTAATCCCAACACTTTGGGAGACCAAGGTGGGCGGATCACCTGAGGTCAGGAGACTGAGACTACCCTGGCCAACATGGTGAAACCCTGTCTCTACTAAAAATACGAAAATTGGCCAGGCTTGGTGGCTCACGCCTGTAATCCCAGCACTTTGGGAGGCTGAGGTGGGCAGATAATGAGGTCAGGAGATCGAGACCATCCTGGCTAACACGGTGAAACCCTGTCTCTACTAAAAACACAAAAAATTATCCAGGCATGGTGGCAGGCACCTGTAGTCCCAGCTACTCAGGAAGCTGAGGCAGAAGAATGGCGTGAATCCGGGAAGCGGAGCTTGTGGTGAGCTGAGATGGCGCCACTGCACTCCAGCCTGGGCAACAGAGCGAGACTCTGTCTCAAAATAAAAAAATATATAGAAACTAGCTGGGCATGGTGGCGCACGCCTGTAGTCCTAGCTACTCAGAAGGCTGAGGCAGGAGAATCGCTTGAACCTGGCAGGCGAGTTTGCAGTAAGCCAATATCATGCCACTGCACTCCAGCCTGGCAACAGAGTGACACTCCATCTCAAAAAATATGTATATACACACACATATATATCTGTACATACATATATATACACACATATAGATCAGAGTAATGCACCTTAAAAGAAGTGGTGTGTCAGGCAGCCTCTATGGTGGCCCCAAATGATTCTTGCCTCCTAGTGTTCAGACACTGTGAAATCCTCCCCACCTGAATTTTAAAACAAAACTTTTTTTTTTTTCCCCGGAGACAGGGTCTTACTCTGCCACCCAGGCTGGAGTGCAGTTCCACAGTCTGGCTCACTGCAGCCTCTGCCTCCCAGGCAGTCCCGAGCAATCCTCCCATCTCAGCCTTTAGAGTATCTGGGACTACAGGTGTGCACCACCACATCCAGCTATTTTTGTTAGTTTTGGGGATT